CTCACTCACTCACTCACTCACTCACAGTGTAGGAAGCGCTACTATCGTCCTTATCGGAGCGAGCGGCGCGGCTTGCCTGTCTGTCGGTCGGGCCGCAGCAGTAGCGAGCCGATACGGGGAGGAATCCGGCCCGTGGCGACCATCAGGCGCAGCCCGGCCGCAGTCACTTATTGTGTTTGCCGTCTGCAGATTTCGCCTCTCAAACTCGGGGACAAGTTAGTCTTTATTTTGTGTTTTGTCTTCCCGTGCGGCGCCGGTTGGTCGACGGCTGCAGTCGGCAAGGTGCAGTATACTGCACGAGTGCTTCTGCACACTCTTTCTTCCGTCGACAGAGTGCAACAATCTCTGCCGCGTGACGCCTCTGATTAGCCAAGTTCAGCCTATGCAAGTTCTCATCATAGCGCCTGATAGGTAGGCAACATCCTGCGTTCAGTGCATGGACGTAATGCGGGGTGGCCTACCCTGAGGTTCGCAGGCGCCAAGATACCGTAGCTGTCCAAATTACCGAAAATCAGTCGTACTTTCCGGTCGAACCCTTGGCTTGTTCGTTCTGTACCGACCGAACATGTCTGCCACACGACGCGTTCGATGACCCCTGTCCACTGTCCACGCGGGCCCGGTCCACACCGCAGTCAGGTCCGGCGCGCGCCTCACAGCGGCTGTCCTATTGGGGCACATCAGCCACATCCGACGTCGCGACCTGCCGTCCCCCCCAAATAGCCCCCCGACCAGCTCCTCCTCCCCACCCCCGTCGCGTGAGTGGATCTGTTCTTGTTAGCGCGAGAAGTCGCGACGCGCAGTGTAGTGTACTCACTTTCTATCTCGACTCGCTTTTACTGCCTGCAAGCTCCCCTGCCTGCGACTGCCTATTTGCCGGAAGACACGATGTATGCCGGGCATTCTCTCTCTCTCTTTGTCATACGCCCCCCATTCGTGGCACCTCATACGTGCATTGCCTAAACGGAAGCAGGTCGACACGTCGTCGCCGGGGACGTGCACGTGCACAGCCCGGGCCCGTCCGGCCGCTTCCTACTTCGTGGTGCACAAGAGCAGTAGCTCCTTACCTATACTGCCGGTGCGAATACATTTTTCTTATTTCACTTTGTCCATCTATTCTTTATCCAAAGACAAGCCCGCGTGCGCCGCGCGCCGGCTCCGGTCGGGCAGCTCAGCCACGCACAGCTGCGTGCCCCGGACCGTGTCTTCGGTTCCGGACACGTCCGGTCTCGGGGCGCGGGCTCGATGTTGTGGTCGCGGCGGCCGGCGTGTGGCATTCACCTTGCTGAGTGGCTCGGCGGCCCACCGCAAGCCGGCACCCCCCCCC